GAGGGAGGGAGAAGGAGAAGGGAGGAGGGGGGGAAGGGGGGAGGAGGAGGGAGGGAGGAGGGAGGGGGAAAGGGGAGAGGAAGGAGGGAGGAGGGAGAAGGGCCAAGGGAGAAGAGGGAGGGGGAGGAGGGAAGAGGAAGGAGTGGAAGGAGGGGCAGGGAGAGGGAGAAGGGAGGAGGGGGGAGGGGGAAAGTGGGGGGAGGAGGAGGGAGACGGGCCAGGGGGGTAGGAGGGGGAAGAGGTGGAAGGAGTGGAAGGAGGGGGGAGGGGCAAAAGAAGGAAGAGGAAGAGGATGTTGCAGAAGAAAAGAATAAATGGAGAAAGGCCAGGGTCTCCAGAGGGATGACAAAGAGAACCATTCCCCGCCAGGAAGCCCGGGGAGGGGCCTTGAAAACCCACCTTCCGTTTCCAGGCTCTGCTGGCCTGGGCCAGGGCTGCCTCTGTACCTGATCCTGTTTCCTCCCTCCAGATCTTTGCACTGGCTGTTCCCCACACGCACTTCTCAGAAGCCAGCACAGAGGACCTCTCCTGGCCACACCCCGCTGTGAGCACCCTCGCAAAATCACTCCGTGTTACTTGGTGTAGACTTAAAAGGTTGTGGGAAAACTAAACTGAAAACAGGCCTGGCTGCTTGGCTTGGGTTGTTCTCCATGTTTGTGGCCCCAGGTCGGCTCTTCAAGCTGACACACACCATGTTTCCCACCTGAAAAATGACCAACGCCCGGCCCTGGAGAGGGGAGAGCGCTCCCTCTGGCTGGGGGGAGCCTGAGATCTCTGCACACCTTCTGCATGCACCAGGCTGTCCAGTCCAGTCCAAAGGCATCCTGGGGGTCCCCACTTTCAGAGGCCAACCGAGAGCTATGACTGACCAACGGATAACCTCCCAGGAGCACAGTAACGAAATCAGCCCTTTCACAACTGTGCACCTACTATGCATGTGCCATGCACTGTGCTGGGCCTTGGGAAAACTGTCCCTGCCTCCAAGAAGCCCCCATTCATTGAGGGAAACACAAATATGAAAGCACTCCCAAGGCAACAGCTGCAGTTGGGGGTGTGGAGAAGAAAGGGGACAGACATCGCAGCCACGAGAATGGGCCAAGGTCTCTGCGTCTGTCTGGGGCCGGCGCTCAGCTGGGGCGAGGCTCCCGGGAGGACGCTGGCAGTATCTCTGGTAACAAAGACCTTTAGGGACAATCCAAGGTCCTCCCCACTTCAGCATGAGGCTGGCCATGCTCCCTCCCGGGGGAATCCAGAGAACCCTCCATAGAAAAGCAGAAACGGCGGCTCAGGCTTGGAGCAGCGAGGCAGAGATCCGGCCAGCCGCTGGCTCCAACCGAGTGGACCCTGGACGCCCGCCACGGCCCGCGGGAGGATGACGGGGGGGGGCCGCCGACACAAGGCTCCCCGAGGCACTTACAAGGACTCCGTGGCCACGACCCTCTCTGCCAGCCCGTATAGCGTGTCCCCGGACGTCAGGACCACAAGGCGACTGAGGTGTGGACTCGGAACCTTCTCCTTCCTCTCCTCGCCTGCTGTGAGGGCACCTGGGGGGTCCGTGGAAACCTCCTGAAAGAAGAAAAGCCCACCACCACACCTCAGGGCCCTTCCTGGGGCCAGCCAAGGTCCAGGCCCGACCCCCCTGGGGCGCGTGTCAAATGTCAAAGAGGAGAAACAGGGGTTCTCTTCCCAGACATTCCACAGCAGCAGCATCTTTCTCAGCTCAGCAGCTGCCACCCGGGATCAGGTGCAGAGAGCACCACGCCTGACTCGTTGGGATGGATGCTGGCAGGTGTGTGTGTGTGTGTGTGTGTGTGTGTGTGTGTGTGTGTGTGTGTGTGTGAGAGAGAGAGAGAGAGAGAGAGAGAGAGAGAGAGAGAGAGAGAGAGAGAGAGAGAGAGAGAGAGAGAAACGGGGGGGAAGGGGAGAGAGACTGAGACACAGCCACAGAGGGGAGGGAAGGAGTGTGTGGAAGACACCAAGCAGTAAAGACAGGAATATGAAAATAAAGAAGGCACTACTAAGTAGGGGTGGGGTGAGGGTGGTCAGAGAAGGCTTCCTGGAGGAGGAGTCTCAGAAGCCCGTAAGAGGAGGGAAGTGCCCACTCTGAGTCTGCATGAATGCCCAGGGGTCAAGGGCAGAGCTCCCTTTGGCTGGGGGTCGCCTGCACCCTTTGCACACCCTCTGCACAATGGCCTGTCCAGGCTAGGCCCAAAGGCGTCCCTGGGGTCGCCTGCCCTCAAGACGAAGTCCCCTTTTCAAAGGCCAGTTGGGAGCTATGAGCCAGAGGAAGGCCCAAGACGAACCTGGGCTATGGGCTTGGGAAGAGGAGAAGCCAGGGGTGGTGGGCCCCACAAAGGATCTGCTGCCCAGGCATCACACCAGGAGAGATGAGCCCGTGGGAGAGGAGAGAAGAAGCCCGAGGCGAGGGACATCCAACGTCTGGAATGGTTTCACTGGCGACTCACTTACTACTACCACAAACCTGATCCACCTGTTCTCTTAAACACGCGCAATAAAATCTCCTCTGAGACTCCCAAGTTGGCTCCTCTGCCCCCACCAGCAGCTGGCCTGGGCCCACCCTGTCCCAAGCCATGCCCCAAAGAGGAGGTTGAGACAGCTGCCCACAGAGTGCTTTGGGGCCCAGAACAGGCGGTGGTGAGTGACTCGTGCAGGTTCCTCAGGGAACCATAACCCCGGCACACACCCTGAACTGCCCTAGGTCCTCCTCATCCCTTCCAGGGCCATTCCTGCTATCTGCTCAGTAATCTGCAAGGCCAGAATTTGAACTCGGGTCCTCTGACTCCCAATCAATGTTAGGCTCAATGCAACAAGCAAATGGAGGAGCCAGATAAGAGATTCAGCTTTTAAAGAAATCTGAAAAGGAGAAAATGGGAGCAGGGTTTGGTAAACCCAAGCATAACAACAACACTGGGAGGGTGATACACTATTTGACAGAAATTAACAGTAAGACTGGGAAGCAACCTGGCCAAAGGGACCCAGCCTCAGGATGAAAGGTCACTGCCTAACAAAAAGGGAAGTCAAGGCCACAAGCATCTATTAATCACCTAGTGTTTGCCTGGCACCCTGCCAACCCTGGGGATACAAAGAAAGACAGACGACAGTCCCTGCCCACGAGGAGCTTTCCCTCTAGTGGGGAAAAAGCCATGCAAACATCTATGGACAGACAGGCTAGAGGTGAGCTACTGAACTGGGGAGAGTCTCAGACAGAAGGCACCCAGATTGAAGAGGACCAGGAAGGGGGGGACCTGAAGGAAGTCCAGGGAGCCAGGAGGTGGAGACAAGGAGGAAGATCATTCCAGGCAGCCAAGGAATATGCTTAGATTTGGGAGACAGAGGGTCCTGTGTGAGGACAAGCTTGGAGGCCAGTGTCACTGGATGAAAGAAATGTGTGTCAGGGAGGAAGGGGTAAGGAGACTAGAGAAGTGGAAGGTGGCAGGTTAAAAAGGACTTTGAATGCCCAACAGCCCAGTTTGTACTTGCCCTCAGAGGCCACAGGGAGCTGCTGGAGTTGACTGAGTAGGGACATGCGTAACATGGTCAGATTTGAACTTTACAAAAATCATTTTGGTGGCTGAATGAAGGATGTATTGGAAGGGAGAGAGACTCTAGGCAGGCAGACCTCCCAGCAACTACGGCAACAGTCCAGGGGTGAGGAGATAAGGGCCTGCCCCAGTGGAGTGGCAGGGTCCAAAAAGAGATGTTGCAAAGGGGAAATAGACAAAAGATGCTGCAGAGGTGAAATCAGCATGAGATGTTGCAGAGGCGAAATCAACCAGGGATGCTGCAGAGATGAAATTGACCAGAGATAGGGGAAAGGTGAAATCAACAAAAGTTGCTGTAGAAGTGAAAATGACAGGCCTTGGCACCATCTTGGATCAGGGGAGTGAGAGAGTGAGGAGTCTAGGGTGACTTCTAGTTGTGAGCCTGGGGGACTGGGAGAATAGGGGTGTCCATGACAGTAATAGGGAAAATAGGAGCAGGGAAGGGTTTACAGTAAGAGAATGAGGTCTGTTTTGGACATACTGAGTGTAAGATGTGTACTGGACATCAAGTTTGAGATACCTGAAAGATAGTGAGATGTGAGATAGGAGGTTGGCAGAGAGGTTAAGGCTGGATAAATAGACCTGGGAATCATCTGCATAAATGAATCCATGGGAGCTGATGAGACCACCAAGAGAAATAGTATAAAGCAGAGGTACACCCAGGTTAAAATTAATTAGGAAATATTTAACAAAATAAATAAAAATGCAATAGAACATAGCTAAAGTTAATGTGGTTTTCTAAGTCAACATACACCTGACAGGGATGCTTCTGTCCAGTTTGGTGGCCCCTGTTTCTCTTTGTAGCCCAGGACAGTTGTAGAGGACACCCCCAGTTAGTGGGAGCGTACCTGGATGAAGGTCCAGCCCAGAAGACTGAGCAGGAGTGATCAGACAGATGGCAGGTTAGAAGGAGGCTCAATTTTAACATTCTTTTAAAAAAATTTTTGATTTCCAAATTTTTTCCCTCTCTGCTTCCCTCACCTCCCTCCTCCAAAAGACAGTAAACAATTTGACACAGGTTATACATGCGCAGTCACGCAAAAGATATTTCCATGTTAGTCATGTTGTGAAAGAAAACACGGACAAAAAAACCCCAGAAAAATAAAGAGAAAGTCTGCTTCGATCTGCACTGAGACACCATTAGTTCTTTCTCTGGAGATGGAGAGCATTTTTTTTTTTTTAAAGGCAACTGGGGTTAAGTGACTTGCCCAGGGTCACACAGCTAGTAAGTGTCAAGTGTTTGGTCTGAGGGCAGATTTGAACTCAGGTCCTCCTGTCTTCAGGGCCGGTGCTCTATCCACTGCGCCACCTAGCTGCCCCCTAGAGAGCATTTTTTGTCACAAGTCCTTCAGAATTGTCTTGGATCATCAGCTCTGTTGACAATGGCTAAGACATTCACAGTTGATCATTGTACAATATTGCTGTTACTGTGCACAGTGTTCTCCTGGTTCTACTTATTTCATTCTGTATCAGTTCATGGAAGTCTTTCCAGGTTTTTCTGAGAGCATCCTGCTTGTCATTTATAACACAATAGTATTCTATCACAACCGTCTAACACTTGATCAGCCATTCCCCAATTGATGGGCATCCCCTCAATATCCAATTCTTTGCCACTACAAGAAAAGCTGCTATAAATATTTTTGTACACATAGGTCCTTTTTCTTTTTTTGTTTTTTTATCGCTTTGAGACGTAGACCTAGAAGTTGTATTGCTAGATTAAAGGGTCTGCACATTTTTATCCTTTTGGGGATCCAAATTATCCTCCAGAATGATTGGATCATTTCACAACTCCACCAACAGTACATTAGTGTTCCAGTTTTCCCATATCTTCTCCAACATTTATCATTTTCCTGTTTTGTCATGCTGGCCAATCTGATAGGTGTGATGTGGTACCTCAGAGTCGTTTTAATTTGCCTTTCTCTAATCAGTAGTGATTTAGAGCATTTTCTCACATGACTATGGATAGTTTGATGATTTCGTTTGAAAACTACCTGTTTTTCCATCTTACTTCATCTGAAAACTACCTTTGACCACTGAGGAATGGCTCTTATTTCTATAAATTTGACTCAGTTCTCTACATATTTGAGAAATGAGGCCTTTATCAGAGAACCTTGCTGTAAATATTTTTTCACAGTTATAATCAGTGTATTTCCTAAATCCTATTTGCCCATTTATCCCATTCTCTCTCTCTCTCTCTCTCTCTCTCTTTCACTCCATCCACTCTGAAAAGTGCTTTGCTTCTGACTTTTACCTCCCCCAATCTGCCCTCTCTTCTTGGCCCCCCTAGCCTTCTCTTATCCCCTTTCCCTCCTATTTTCCTGTAGGGTAACACAGATTTCTTTACCCATCTGAGTGTGTGAGCCAATTCCAATGAAAGGGAGGTACAGCGGCTCTTTTTGCAGAATGTGCAGGGCCGTTCATCCACTGGCCCTGGCTGAACAAGCTGTGGCCTGGGAAGGTAATGAGATACTACAGTAAGAAATGATGATGGGGATGGTTTCAGAGGGGCCTAGGAAGAGCTGGACAAAGTGACGTCCAGGGAGATGGCAGAAGCAGGAGGACTGTCCAGAAAGACAAATGGCTTTGACAGACGTAGGGATCTGACCAACACAGTGACCCAGTATGATTCTAGAGGCCTCAGGGCAGCACCCAGCGAAGGGGCATTTTCTTTCTAGACAGTCGGTAAAAAAAAGTCTGGCGGGACCTGACGGTCCTGCAGATGCCAGGCTCATTAGACAAGAGGCTTGATAAGAGGTCAGCCTCACCCCAGATCACGACCTGTGACCTCGCTGCTCAGAGATCCCTCAAGGATGCGAAGGAGGCCAGTCCCGGAAGGGAGTAGGCAGAGCCTGGGCAGGGATGCAGAGAGAGAGGCAGTAATCCATCGGTCCACCACAGGCTGGGCATCGGGCAGAAAAGGAGGAGGGGGCCCCGAGCGTGCACAGGCCGCCGAGGACGGACACAGAGAAGCCCCTCTCCAGCCCCTGGCCCTGCCAACCACACGCACTGCCAGGGGAGCTGGGGGGGCCGGATCCTAAGCACATAGCTCACTTGGTCTAGAGGCAGAGATGCCCCCAAAGGCCCTTTTAACAGACTGTGTAGACGGCAACCAGAAAACACAGCCCCGCCTGAGACTGCAGAGTGGCTCCTCAGTAGTGCTATGGTGCCCTCCAAGGCCCTCCCCGCCCTTGGCCCAAGGGCCTGCACACCCTGCTCAGACAGATAAGGAAACCGAGGCCTGGGAGGGAGGCTTCCAGCTCCTGAGCCTCCCCACTGCCTAAGGGGCAGCACCTGGCTGGCCCCTCTCAGCTCCAACCCACATAAACAAGGGTAGCGCCCCAGCATGTGGCCTGGCAGCCCATCCAAGCTGTATTCCAGGCGAGAGAGGTCAGTGTGGGGAGGGCACCGTTGCTCCTGAGCCCCACCAGCCTGGGCCTCAGCTCTCTCACCTGTAAAATGGGGACAGAGACCCCCGACACTCCTGGCCTGAGGGCTTTGGAAACGCGAGGGATGACCGCAGGGAACATTCCACTCGAGAAGGCTCCCAAAAGACGGCTCGGGTTCAGCGATGCCCATTAGGCCCAACCCCAGAGGCAAGAGCCCGTCCAGGCCGACGTTCGGAAAGTCTGTCAGAGCGACCCCCACCCACTCCTGTGGAGCAGACACCGCCTCCTGGCGCCCCTTACCAGGTCGATCAAGCTTTCCTGGATCCGGTTCAGCGTCGTCCGTAGGCGGCTGCTGCTCAGGCCCAGACCCGTCGACTCCAGCTGAAAAGAGAGCGAGGCCATGCTGGTCACACATGTGCACATGCACACACGGCTCCTCAGGAGCCCCCGAGAGGCCCCGGGCCAGGGGACACCGAGAGATGGGCCCCAGTCCTGCTGCAGGCGCCCAGACACACACGCTCACACACAGACGAGCGCAGGAACTCCTGGGGAGGGGTGGGAGGACACAGTGAGGCTGACCGGGGACGGGAGAAGAGGGGCTACCACACACACACACACACAAACACAGAAGAGCATGTACCACACACATACACAATACACATGCCACATATACACAAGCACACACATGTGCATATAACACATATGCACACACAAGCATACCTCCCATACGCATAAGTATACACATGCACACAATATATGTGCCCCACACACATATACACATTCCCACTCACAGACGTGAGCACACACACACACACACATACAGGAGCATACACCACATGCAGACATGACACACATACCACACATGCACACACAATCAGACCTCCCACATGTGTAAGTACACACATGCACACAATACATATGCCCTACACACACATACACACACACACTCCCACTCACAGACACACGTGCGCACACACACACACACATAGGAGTGTGCACACACACACAAAGGAGCACACACAAACACATAATACATATAGCACACATGCACACACAATCATACCTCCCACATGGGTAAGTACGTACATGCACACAATACATACTCCCTACACACACACACACACACACACAGATGCACGTGCACACACACACATAATACATATACCACACATGCACACAATACATATGCCCTACATACACACTCCCACCCACAGATGCATGCGCGCACACACACACACAATACATATACCACACATGCACAAGCACACACATGCACACACACACACACACTGCACGGCCAGTCCGCGCTGCAGGAAGGGCACAGTACGCAGGGCCTTCTCCTGCTGGCCTCTCTTGTCCTGGCCCCGGGGGGAGACGGCTGCAGGCCTTCGGCCACCCCCTTCAACCCCCACACACACACGGGCGCATCTGGCTCCCCACATCACCTGCCCGTGACTGGCCAGACTCACCGAGTCGTTACGGCCGAAGAAGGTGTAGACGGCGTAGAGGTAGTAGTCAAACAGCTGAGACAGGAAGTGGACCACGTCAAAGGCGATGGGCTTCAGCATGCTCATCATCTGCATGTATTTCCCTGCAAGGAAGGCCAGGCCCCGTCAAGGCCCTGACGCTCAGACCCTCCCCTCCATGCCCCCAGAGGAGGCCGCCCGCATACCAGAAATGCCTTCTTCAGGAGGGTGCCAAGGAGCAGAGGGCTCTGGCCACAGCTCTGAGCGGCCTCGGCTAAGTCCCCACCGCCCTGACCTCGTTTTCTCCTCTACAAAATGGGGGTGGGGGCTGCACGCGCCCTCCTGCGCCGGCCTGACACAACTTCCAGCTCTCACTGATCTCTGTCCTTGGACCAGGGGAAATCGTGATCCCAGCGCCCACCCAGCGGGAGAAAAGAGCTGCGGGAACGCGCATCTCCTCCTCCTCAGAGGCAAGGAGGAAGGAAACAAGTGTGGATGAAGCCCTAGCCTGTGCCGGGCCTCACGCGAGTCTCCCCACCACCCTGGAGGGAGGTGCTCAGATGGCCCCATTTTACAGATGAGGTAACGCAAGCACGGGAATGCAGAGAAGACAGCTGAGCACAGAAGGGGTGCCGGGCCCCCAGGGCCCAAAGAGCCGTTCCCTGAACGGGAAGACCTCACACTAGACCGCCATGGACTTCTGTAAAGCGCCCAAGAGTCAAGGCGCAGAGCCAGACGCAGCCCTTCGACAAGGCCTGAGGTCCAAGCCCCATGCCCGCAGCCCAGGACCGAGCCTTCAGAGGGAAGCGGCCTCAGGACCCAGGACAGGAGGGAGCGCTTCTGTTGCAGGGACTGGGGCAGGGGAAGAAAAGAGATTTCTGTTTGTTAAAAAACTAACCTTTTTTAAACTTCATAATAAATTGTATCTTTCTAAAAATAAAACTGAATAAATGCTGTTGAGCTGACCTGAGCACCCCCAAATTAGCTACTTCCTGGGGAGAGCCCAGTTCTCACAAAGGAAGCCGTCCATGCGGGCGGGGCAGCCCTGCAGAGCCCCTGAGTCAGGACCCTCTTCCTTCAGGGCAGGAGCCAAGCACAGGTCTTGGGTCCTCCACCCCAGGGCTCAGCAGCCCCCAAACCTCACTGACAGCTGAGATCCTTGGGGCAGAGGTGGGGGCCACCAACAAGGGCAGCTCCCCAGATAGCAGGAAGTTTGTGCGCAGAAATGATAACCGGGACAGGCCCAGAACAGGGGAGGGAGCAGACTGCATCCGCCGGGCCGACTCCCCCATTTTACGGATGAGGACAGTGAGGCCCAGACCTCTCACCCCTCCACACACTCTCTCTTCACCTCGATGCATTTTTCCCTGCTCAGAAATCAAGGTAAAACGTCCCCTCTGGGAACGGCGCTTCACCCTCAGGCATCCTGGGATCTCCGTAGCAGCACCCCTCTCTCACCCACCAGCCAGTGCCTGAGAGCCTCCAAGGCATCCCCCCCCAAAAGAGGGCCTCCCACTCAGGAAGGGAGCAGGATGCTGGGCACCAGTCTCTGTTTTGGCCTTCGTTGGCGTCCAGCTCCCTGGGGAACCCAAAAGCCACCCTGACCCCCCATGGAAGAACACGGACTTCTGTGGGGCAGGGATGCTGCTCCAGGCCTGGCCAGGCTGGCCCAGAGAGATCACCTCAGGGGAGCTCTGAGGGGCTGAAGATGACAGCGTTTAAGAGCACAACATAGGGGGTGTCAGAATAATGAGTGCCACCAAAAGGCCGCTCTCTCTTAAGGCCTACGTAGGAAAACGCGCTCTTCTGCAGTTACCTCTCGGCATGGTTCATGATGATGGCAAACAGCGTGCATGTGCACAGGGGTACATGCCTGCACCCCCGAGGGCTTTGGTGACCTGGCTTTCCAGCCGCACTCTTTGTACCAAGGACCAATCGCGCCCAATACCGGCCACTTCAAGGGCTACAGAGACACGGCGGCTTCCCTCGCCAATTTCCTGCAATCATGCCATCATCGGCAGCCAAGGCTGGCACCGGAGCAAACCCCGCCGAGGGCCACGGGCCGACGCGAAGGAGCGTGGGCATACAGGAGAGGAGCGTTCCCACCATGTCAAGGCAGACTCATTTCCAAGGCAGTGAGAAGCGTCTCAACAGCCCCAAACTCCGATGTTCCAAAATGCCTTTCTTCCCCCAGTTCTGTGTGGGTCCTGCTCTCCTCTGAAAGACCCAGGCCGGGTCTGTGCCACTTTAAGCACAAATGGTGGGACCGAGGTGGGCGACACGAGGTGAAGGGGGTGACGAGGCCCGGCGGCTGGGCGGGCTTCCCCTATTCAGGGCATCTCTGTGCTATTTCACTGTGGCCTACGAAGTGAGTCTGCTTTGGGGACAGGGGTACCAACCAGGAAAGGAAAGCTGGACCTGGGGTCACACAAGCCCCAGACTTCTGGAGGCCAGATTTCCGAGGTCACAAGACAGAGGGGTCCTAAACACTGACACCCTGACAAGGCGCTGTGACGCCCAAACAGCAACAGGTGACCTCAGGGAGAAAAAGGTCAAGGGGACACAGACCAGGACGGACCAGGGCGCGAGGTCAGCGGCAGCCAGTGACGCACAAGAACCCTGAATGCACACTGTCAGGGGACACAAGGAACGAGCACGTGAAGGAAAGGGGAGGGCCAGCTCTTGTGGGGACCACGATGAAGACAGAGAAGACATGTTCCCCTCCGCTCCTCCTTGGCTTTGGAAGCATAAAATCAATCGATCGCTCAACCAGCCAACAAGCATCAATTACGCTTCTCCCCTGGGAGATCAAGGCAGACGGGAAACACAAATGCCGAACAGGCGCATCACACACAGAAGGGGGAGGGCCCGCCTCGCAGAGCCGCCATCCCTCTGTGCCCGGGGGCACCACTGCCCCTCCAGGGCCAGGAATCGAGGTCCAGAAGTCAGGCAGGTCACCCGGTCCTGAAATCCCACAGACACAGAAGGTGACGGCCTCGCGCTGCCACATCAGGGACGGGACAGGAGCATTGACCCGTGACAACCAGCATGAATCACCGCTGCACTGACCACTCCTCAAGGCCTGGCCAGCTACCCACCCTGAGCCCCAGGAGGCCACCCCCATGGGATGGTGCCCAACGTCTGGGCTCTCACTCGGCCGCAGGCCTTCTGCAGGGGAGACCCTCGACCCCTGACCTGAAGAACCCCAGAAGGCCAAAAGGGGGTGGCAGCTGGTGGGATGGAAGGCGCACGGCTGGCAGAAGCCAACAAGACACATCCCCAGGGCCCCCGGGCCCCCAGGGCTCCTCAGGATCATTCCTTGGCTCTCTGACCACCAGGAAGAGGGCCAGGCCAGGCAGCAGCCCAGCCTCCCCATACCACTGACCCACTCCAACTCACCAACCAGTCGAATGACATTCAGGGTAGTGTTGGTCAGGATGGGAGCGTTGACTTTGTTCAAGCTATAATCTGATTTCTTTCGGCTCCTTAGCGTTTCTCGGGAAACACTGAGATAAAGAGAGAGAAGGCAGAGAGTGCGAGTTAGGAGAGCAAGAGGAGACGGAGGAAGGAGAGAGACAAGATGGAGAGGAGGGAGGGAAGGAGGGAGAGAGGAGGGGGAGGAGGAGGGAGGAGGGGGAGGGGGAGGGGGAGGGTTCTACCAAGGACCGTCCCAGCCACAGAGAGCCAGGTCTGACCACTGGACCCCCACACCCTGCGACAGGTGCCCATGGGAGGCAGTACCAAGCATCGAGCTGGCAGTCCTGCGACAGGCGGGTTTCCGGGTGGATCTCTCAGGCCCCACCAGGATCTCTCAGGATCCCAAGCAGCTGGAGGACATTCCTCCTCTGTGGCTGCAGCTGGGATACCCACCACCACCAAGTCCCCATCTGCTCCTAAGCAGCGGCCCCTCGAGGATCCCTCTCCCCGGCTACACCCCACAAACATGGAAGACAGTGCCTGACTAAGCAGCCTGGATGCACGTTCTCCTACCGCACCCCAACAACGGCCTCGAGAGGGGGGTCAACATCAGGCCCATTTTGAAAAGGGGAAACTGAGGCCCAGCCCCAAGTCACAGAGCCAGTGCCTGTGCCTGTGGCAGGATTCGCACCCAGTCCCAGCCCGTACCACACTCCTGCCGAGGCACAGGCAGTCACCTTTTCACAGGGACGTCCCCGGTCTGCTCGTCCACGAAGTCTCGCTTTAGCTCCTCGGGGACATCGCTGTCGCTGTCATAGTCTTGGTATGCGCTCTTCTCAGGTTCGTCTGACTCATACTAAGGGGGCAGAGAGCGTGCAGACTGAGGGCAGGCTCTGGCCACGACCGTGAGGCGCCCCGCTGCTCCATGGCCTCACCCCTCTCCACCCCAAAAGCCAAACCTAACTCTAACCCCCCGCCAGCCCAGGGAGCCCCGCTGGGTCAGAGTTTAGCGGAAAGGACAAAGTGGGGGGGCGGGAGGGAGAGGGAATGAGGGAGGGAGGAGGGGAGGAGGGAGGGAGGAGGGGAGGAGGGGAGAAGAAAGGGAGCGAGGCCTCCTCTTGCTCATCCACTCTGGGCAGAAGCAGACCATGGAGCTGGACGCCCCAAGTCTGAATCCTAGCCCTACTGCACCAAGGGGCTGGCAGGGGGGGCGGGGAGAGGCTGGGAGGCTCCAATGGGCCCAGAGACAGGAAGCTCCTGGTAAACCCTCAAACCAGTGCCCCGCACGCTCCCCACCCCGCTCCCCACGCAGGCACCCTGGGCCAGTGCCCAAACGCACCCCGTTGGAAGCCAGGACGTCTTCGGTTTCCTCGTCTTTGCTGTTGGCCTGAATCTCAAAGGGGTTCCCTCCGCTGCAGTACTGTTCAAACAAGGTGGCAGCTGTCGAGGACGCTGCAGAGGTAGGCTGCTTACTGGGGGACACGGACGGGGACCGGGATTGCTCCATGAACTTAAATTCCTGAGCACAGATGCAGGGCTCGTCACCACTGGTACTGGCCACCCCTGGCCCCAGGGTGCTGGGCCCCCTCCCGCCCGCTGGGGCTGGCTCTCAGCACCCTCCAGACAAGAGAGCCCCAAAGGGGCCCAGCGGAGCACAGGCTTCTCACCCAGGGCAGCCACTGACCGGCCCTGGGCCAGACTCTACAAACACCCACCCTGCCGCACCCTCACTCCTTGCTGGGCTCGAGACCCAGACGGTGGCCCCCGTGCCCACAAGGTGAGTGCCACACCTGGAGTGCCACTGTCTGGCGGCTGCTCAGGCCTGCGCATCTGACACCTTCCCCAGCCTCCCTCATTCCTCGGCCGTCGCTCGGCCATCTCGAGCTGACTTGCCCAGAGCTGTGGGCCGAGGTTGCTTCTCCTTGCCTGGCACACAGTAGGTGCTACTAAGTGTTTGCTAACTGACCGGAGTCTGGATGCGTGGGGCGACTTTCACCCCAGGATGAAAGGCCGAGCCCACACAGTGACACGTCTGGCCCTTTCAGACCCAAAATGAGGCATTTAGGACTCAGTTTACACCATGGGCACACTGACTCCTGGGGAAAGCCCCCTCTGGACGACTCCTCCCCACCTGATGACTCCCCTACATCTCCGGCGTCATTCACGAGGGCCACAGAGCCGGCCAGCTCTCAAAAGGTTGGACCTTGCATACATCAACTCACTCAGAGGATGACACCATTTCCTAATCACCCACTGTGGGCCAGGCATGGGGCTCCCCCGGCCCCCTCATCCATCAACAGCCCCGCCCTGAGCCCATCTGAAACTCTACTGGGATCCCCCTTCAGACCTGGGCTCCCCACCCAACCTCTGGGGGTGCACTGGAGGTCCATCCATGGCCACAAGTGACCAGGACCCAGATCTGGGGGGGCGAGGCACCAGCTGTGAGGCACAGGAAAGGCTGGAGCATCACCGTCCCTGTCACGTGCCCTTCACTCCCTCCCTGGTTCTCACAAGAGGGCTTCTCTTTGTAAAAATGCCCGGACACCCCCATCAAGAAAGGGCACCCGGGATCCCAGATACAGAGCTGGAGGAGGCCCCCCAGGTACCCTGCAGACGCCCCCATGATCCGCACTGCTTCAGGTCCCCCAAGGCAGCTCAGCCACTCTGGACGCTGGGCATCTCCCCTCGGCCTCTATCGTGGGGCCCTGCGGACGTCACCCCTCCACCAGACATCCCTTCAAACACCTGCAGACGCTCTCGTGACCCCCCAAGCAGACAGCCAGCCCTCTCTTCAAGCCCTGACAAGAGACGCATCCTCGGGCTCTGGGGACGGCATGGCCTCCCCTACCTACCTCAGAGCCACACTAACTATGCCCCCTGAATGTGCCTCGGGCCCCTACTCTGCCTGCCCACAGGTTGGGGGCACGGGCCCGAGACAACGCCCTGCCCGCCATCGAGGGGGGTTGACATCCTCTGAGGCAGATCAGGTGTCCACACATACGTCTACACAGGTGACACACAGAGTGCTAACACCTGAAGAGTCTGAGGGAGTGCCCTCCAGAGAGCTGGGCCCCAGGCAGGCCCAGGAGATGTCCGGAGGGCTCCCAAGGGGTCCTGTAAACACAGGCCCCGGGCACACCGGGATGGGTGGAGAGCAAAGGTCTACAAGCTGCAGGCAAACCCTCACGTGAAGCTGCAGGATGCTGAAGCTCGACTTCACGGGGCACAGCTCCCACGTCTCGTTCTCCAGGAACATCCTCAACTCGTCCAGGCGCGTTCTGAAACACAGATCCAGAGGCTGGGGCCGGGCATGGGGCGGGGCACAGCGTGCTGGGCTGGGACACGGGGCGGGAGTCACGGGCTCCCTCCTTCCTCTCATCCTTCCACACCTGTGGCCTCCCAGATGGAGCACCTAGCACAAGGGAACCTGCAGCCACGGCAAGGTCCAATCCACAGCGGGCCCACGACAGTGAGCACTGAGCCCTGGGGGCTGGGGGACTTCCAGACTGCCTCCCCTGACTCCCCCTGCACCCCAGGTGACAAGGGCCGGGATTACACCCCCCCCAAGCCCAAGGCTGACACTATGTGGCAGATGTGGCCGCCCCACACTGCACAAGGTGGTCACACACCAGAACAGCTCCACTGCGTGGCCCCAAACGGGGACACACAGGTCGCCGTGGACACCTCCTCTGCTAGCACTGCACACATGCCCACCCATGCTGGTGGCAGGAACGAGTCACAAATCCTACCTCCTAATGCATCCTGAGGGACTCTGAGCAAGAGCTTAACCTCTCTGGGCCTCAGTTTCCTCCCAGGGGCCCTCCAGCTCAACCTCTCCTGTTCAATGCTGAGAAAACCCTCCACAAAGCACGCACTCATTAGCCCAACGGATCCACTCCCAGAGGTCAGGCATCCCAAGCTCCCCTGTCTGTCCCCATCCCGCCTCCTGCCCACAGGGCCCAGCAAGCACACCTAGGGCTTGGACTTGTCCATCCAAGGTCCCCAGGTGCCCGATTAACCAGCCACTCTGGGGTAATGCCGCAGGCAGAAGGCTGGCTCCCATCTGTCAATGACACAGAAGAAGGCTTGTCTGGTCTTAAAAAGCACTTGGGGAAACAGAGGCAGGAAAGCCCTGGGAGCCTCCCAGGCTGTTCACCTGAGCCACTCGCTCCAGGGAAGGGCAGGAAAGGCTGATCCCTCCCAAGCGCAGAGAAAGTGCCAGAAGCCCAAGGCGCCATCGCGAGCAGACAGAAACGAAGGAAGGCTGGCCCCTGCTCAGGGGTGGCCAGTGTGAGCCAGGGCAAGAAGACAGGCAGTCCAGGAGTTTTCTGAGAAAAGGCCGAGGGTCAGCCTTGAACGGGGGGGGAAGGGTTCTATTCTCCCAGAAGCCCCTCCTGACTCCTCTGCTCCCTTAAACACGTCCCCAACCCCGCCAACACCCCCTGCTTGCCACACTCCCTCATGAGCGCTGGCCCAGCAAAAGGCCCAGAGAAGGACCTCGGCTCAGTGAAGGTCACCAAGGGGGCTTGTGGAGGGCCAGCATGGGTGAGAGGCTCAGACTGCCCCTGGAAGGAGAGATGAGAAGGGACAGGGGTGTGCCCCAAGGGCAAGGCCCGAGGTGGGGAGCCAACCCACAGTGACCCAGTGGGCATCTGAGGCTGGTGATGCAGAAACAGCCGAAAAGAAGAAAAAACTGACCACTGGGGAGAAGCTGTGCAGGAAGAGAGGAAGGCCAGGCATTGCACACCAGTCTCAGGGGATTCAGAGGAAGGATCAAGAGGGTCCCACAGACCGAAAAGCCAGAGAAAGCCAGCAGGGAGAAAGGAGGGAACCCGCCCACCACCCAGCCTTGGCAGAGACGGAGGCAAAGGGAGCTGACTCCATCGAGGACAGATGCAGCCGGGGCGGGGGCAGAAACCAAGGCTTTCTCGTCATCCGGCTCCAGCCGGGTCAGCAGCAGCGATGACCCAGAGCCCGGTGGCAGGCCTGGCATTCTCGACCAGATTCTAGGCCAGGCTTAGGGGAGGGTCGGCCTTAGGGACCCATCCCCCAGAGCCAGCCACTCCAGGCTGACCCCAGATCTCTCCCGGACAAGGTCGCTGCCCCAGCAGAGCAAGAGATGCTACACCTTCCGTGTGCCCCGATTTTAGGAAAGGGAAAAGAATAAACCTTTACAGAATGCCTACTGTGCATCCAGCACTGTGCTAAGCGCCTTACTAATGTCACCTCATTTAATCCTCATGAAAACCCTTGCGAGATACATGCTGTTGTTATCCCATTTTACCAGGGAGGAAACTGAGGCAAACGGAAGTGAAGTGTCTGGCCCAGGGTCACAGCGCTAAAAAAGAATTCAATCGGTTCTCTCGTGGCCTCAATGGCCTGCCACTAGCTGACTCTCTGCCTCAGCTTCCTCATCCGTAAAATGGGCTGGAGAAGGAAATGGCAAAGCTCTCCAGTATCTCTGCCGAGAAAAACCCCAATGGGGTCAACAAAGATTGGGACACGCCTGACTGACTGAACAGCCGAGAAGAGGTTCTGGATGGCTCCACCTCAGTGAGGCAGGAGGTCTCCAGCACAGTGCCCCAGGGCCCTGCGAATGGCCCGCTTTTTATCAATTAATGAATTATTATGTTTGTTTAATGCTTCTATCACTGCCCTGGAGAGAGGCACAGACGGGTACCCTGCAGAGTCCGAGATCCAGAAGGATTTGGACAAGCTCACATGCTGGACCAAATCGAGCAAGAAAAAATGCCACGAGGCAGAGAAGTATACTTCAGTCTAAAACCCAGATCCCCAGAACAAGATGAGGAAGGCGTGACTAGATAGCGGGTCATCTGAAAAAGATCTGGGGGTTCTAGGCGACAGCAAGCCCAACAGGGAAAAGTGTGGCATGTAGGAGCCCCAGGGCTATGCCCGGCCCTCCTGTGGAAGCAGGGGGTCCTGATCTTTACTTCAGAGCTGGGCCGCTAGGGAGCGCCACAGCGCACAGAACACTAGGCCTGAGTTCAAATCCAGCAGCTTCCTAGCTATGGGACACTGGGTAAGTCACCCAGTTTCCCCAACTGTAAAATGGGAAATCATCAATAGCAAAATGTTTGTACATCTCTTAACACGGTGCTCGGCACACAGCAGCACTTACTAAATGCTTATTCCCTTCTCCTTTCCTTCCCCCGGGGATGACCCCCTGGCGAGTGCCCAGAAGCAAACACCCAGAGTGGACGAGGGCCTTGGGGTCCGACCAGGCTCTATGAGAAGTGCGAAGACCAAGCTGGGCTCAGGCTCCAGGCAGGATAAAAGACCATCAAAACGCCTGCAAATACAACGATCCGGACGACCCCAAAAAGGGGAGCTACACGGGGCCTTCCTGGAGCTCAATGACAAGACCTTTCCCCACCTCACCGGGCAGGGCTGCATCTCAGGAACCGCCACAGACACCCCAGGAGCCCCTGTGAGCGTTCCCAAGCCGGTGATGCTGATAGTACTGGACCCCAGGCACCTGTGCTGGGGGCGGGGAGGAAGCTGGCCCCTAGGACCAACACCCAGAGTGGCCAGCGACCGGTCCCGGATTTTGGCTGAGGCCATTGTCAGGAGGACAATGCTGACTGCAGACGCCAGCCCCACAATCCCTCTGGAGATGCTTCAACCCCACCTGCAACGCCAAGTGCCAACAACCCTCTGGACAGATGACAAAACAGAGGCTGAGGAGTGACCTGCCCGGGCATTCCTGAGGGGCTCTGTCCCAAGGCCCACCTGCCGACTCCTCAGAGAAGATGACGGATGGGGCAGGGCCCAAGAGTTGCCCTGGGCCTAAATCCGGAAGCAATGCTAAGGTTTCCGAGAAGTGAATGAGAGCAAACGTGGGCCACGCTCAGGCTGAAAGACACTTGGGCCCCCTGCTCTCCCTGCCCAGCGGCCGTCAGGTAGGTTCCTGCTCCTACAGCTGAGGAGACAGAGGCCCCAAAAGGCCGAGTCACCTGGGACATCGTGTGAAGAGTGGGGCTGAGATGCCGGCCTCCGGGCCGCTGGACCCTGGGTGCAGGCCCCACCAGACAGCACGCGCACGGCCACAGCCGCCCTCGCCAGGCCACAAGCACTAGCTCACCTGTGGTAGTTCTTGAAGTAGTTAATGCTCTGCTTTCGGATGGAATCCTGCAGAACTTCGGACTTGCTGCCACAAAACTCCTCACCCACTTGCATCAGCCTGTCCAAAGAAAAGCAGTTTCAGAAAGCTTTCGTAAACAGCCACAACACAAGCAGGTACACGACGGTCAGAAACGCGCGCGTGAACAACACGGATGCTCACAATTCACCAGAAGATGGCCTGGTCCTCAGCCCTGAGTAAGTGTCTATGTGGGCTGGGCCCTGTGCAGAGTACTGGGGTGAGCAGACAGGCAGATGTCCGTGCCCTCAGGGAGCTGCCAGCCATGCAATGTCTTAGCAGGGACAGGTAATCTCAGACGGAGGGCCTGGGACGTGAGGAGGGAGGGCATTCCAGGCCTGAAGAGTGGAGCAGCCAGGAGGCCCGATGGGGGGAGGAAGGTGGGAGAAGACTGGGAAGGGAGGACACAGCCAGGTTAGGAAGGGCTTTGAAGGCCAGACAGAGCATCTGACCCTGGATGCAGCTGGCCAGGTGAGGGGTGACGTGGTTGGAGCTGCACTGTAGGAAGATCACTCTGGTGGCTGAATGGAGGGTGGGCTAGAGGGGGAGAGACGAGGCAGGCAGACCCCCAGCAGGTGTGGCCATAGTCCAGGCATGCAGGGATGGGGCAAGATGGGGGCGGGGCCAGAAGAGAGAAGGGGGAGTCTTGGCACCATCTTGGAGTCCAGGATGACACGTAGGTCATGAGCCTGGGGGCCAGGGAAGATGGGGGCGCCCCCTCCAGTAACAGAGAAGATGGGAGAGGGGGAAGCGCTGGGTTCTTTTTTGTACTGAGATGTCTCCCAGACGTCAGATTTAAGACGTCAGAAAGGCCGTCCGAGATGGGAGACCAGAGGTCAGCAGAGAGGCTGGGACTGAGAGTCCTCTGCAGGGAGATGATAATGAAGTCTGTGCATTTTCCGACCAGATGGCCAAGGGAACAGCAGAGAAGGAGGAGAGGGCGTGGGGCAGAGCCTGGGGACATTCTCTAGCTCGATGAACTCTATCTGGAATTCATTCCTCTGGGCATCCTGCCAACATGGCCGCCTAGAAAGCCGCGCTCGATTTCCAGCACTTCTGGGAAGGCGTCTCCCCGAGGTTCCTGAACTACCTGGCCGGGTTCTTCTTCACCCTTCTGGGGAAGCCTCCTAGTTTCTGAGTCTCTCCTCCTCTGCTCCTCTTTCAGAACCGTCGCTTTTCTGAGTCATTTCCTCTCTTTCTGCCGTTCCTTCTCTATCTGTGTCCTCCAGAACCCCAAAGCTCATGATGAAAGGGATGGCTCCAGAGAAACCTTGGAAAACTCCCGTGAACGGATACAGTGTGGAGCAAACAGAACCGGCAGAACAATTTCTATGACAATGGAACCATAAAAACAAACAAGTTCCAAAGCCGGAGGAACCGATTCACACAGCATCCCCAGTGAGGAAGAGGCTGCCCACCTCCTGACAGAGAGGGCGCACGCTTAGGGGACAGCACATGCCATCGCTTTTAGACACAGTCCACATGGAGCTGTTTAGTTCAACTATGCATATGTTCCATGGTTTCCAAGGATTCTAGGGTTTGTCTAGGCAAGGGGGTTAGGTGACTTGCCCAGGGTCACACAGCTAGTAAGTGTTATATGTCTGAGGCCAGATTTGAACTCAGGTCCCCCTGAATCCAGAGCCAGTGCTCTATCCACTGCACCACCTAGTTTTTTTTTTCCCAGTAGGGATGAAGAAGAAATAGATTTTTGTATTTTTTTAACAATATTTGTTTTATAAATAAACAAAACTCTTACTTTTCACTAAATCTGTTATTGAGTAAATTTTAGTTATTTGCTTTTGGGGTATAAAACCCAGATGTTCCAGTTCATCTCCAAAACCTTTGGTACTTCTCTACGGCCTTTAGGATGAAAAAGCACCGAATCGGATAGACTCAAACCTCTGGAACAGGTCCCCTAGACCAGGAGTCTCCCACATGCAGGCCAAAACCACTCAAGACACTTGAGATGCAACAGCAATAATCTGGCTTAAAATCCCTCTGATTATTAAGACCATGCCAAAACTAAAACAGGGAGAAGCACACTGGCCAGCTGTGATTCCCATTGACAAAGAGGAGACGCGAGACAGAGCGTGACACAAGAGGAACTCCTTGGAGATGATGAGAGCTTCCTGACACTGGCGATCCGCTGCACACAGCAAGCCCAGAACACCGCAGAGCCTCCGAGGAGGCAACGTGCCGGTGCCAAACCAGCGGGACGAGAAACTCCAAGTCTAGGCCGACTGCCCCCCATACATCCAGTGGGATGGACAGCCTGCAGAGCCTGTCCCTCAAGTAGGCCCTCAGAGACAGATACCGAAAACAGGTAATGGGACAGGTGGAGGACGGCTGCCACTTCTTCACTTTTTAATGTGACTTTTCTTGATATTTTTAATACAAAAAAGGCATTTCCACATACAAAGTAGATACTGCAAATGAAACTGTGATGCTCTATTCCAAAGTGTTTATAATTCTATAATCAATCCTCACCGCTGCTTTCGGAGCTGTCTATGCCTCATTCTTTTCTCTCCTGTGTATTTTTGGGGTTTTTCTGAGTTTGGTTTTTTTTTTTTTTTTTTGGCTTTTTGGTGAGGCAATCGGGGTTAAGTGACCTGCCTAAGGTCACACAGCTAGTGAGTATCGTGTCTGAGGCCAGATTTGAACCCAGGACCTCCTGACTCCAAGGCCAGGGCTCTATCCACTGCACCACCCAGCTGCCTCTACTCCTGTGTATTTTCAGTAATGTTTCAGTGCCTGTCTTTTTTCCCTTCTTTTGGCATCTCTGTGGCTAGCCCCTCCTCCCGCCAAATCCCACATAAGGCCCTCGTAACCAATAAATAAAGCCAAGCAGAACGAATGGACGTGGACACGGCCACGGCCACGACCCAATAGCACACGTCTCCTTCTGCATCCCACTCATCTCGTCCCTGGCGGCCCAGCTGCTCTCGAGGCCGTCCTCTCAGGCCGTTGGTCATGACGACGCTGATGTCACTGTATGCACCGTTCTCATCGCACTCTCCGTCGGCATCAGCTCAGACAAGTCTTCCGGGGCTCTCAGGCGCCGGCCCTGGCCACTCCTCAGAGTGCGGCAGCATTCCATCACTCCATCACCTCCAGAGACCGTCACCCGGCCGGCCACTCCCCAGGGGCTGGGCGGCCCCTCCCTTTCTAACACTGTGCCACCACAAACAGCTGCTACATATGTCTGATTAGCGGGGGTCCTTTTCCCCCTCCTCTCATCTCTCTGAGGCTTAAGAGGGGCACCATGGAGTCAACGGCAGAGAGGAGGGAAGTACACTTTCGCATCTCTCTTCTGACTGTGCCGTGTGCTGTATGTGTGCGTGTGCACATGGCTACCCACGTCTATGTGCATGAATAGCTACAAGCTGCATACCTAGACAAGCTCTGAAGGATGGACGCAGAGATCCCTCCCCCCACAAGGGAGCACGGTGCAACAGGACCCCATGAGCACGAGCAGGCTCAGACGCTCTGTGAACAAGGGACCCGTGGGAGAAGCAGCATGAAGGAGGCAGTGGACCTGGCCGGCTGGCCGGCCCCACCCAAGGACCGCCCCTCCATGGAAAGAGCAAGCAAAAAAGCACTCCCCACCCCCGCCAGGGGAACCACGTGTCACCAGTTTGAGAGCCATTCCCTCCAATCAGGAGAAAACAGCCATGACAGAGGTGGCGGCGCACATCTGGTCCCCAACTCTACCTGCTGATTATATCCAAGACGAAGATGAAGTCGTCATACTTGAACGTTGACATGTCAGTCCCAAACAAATAGGTTTTTACTTTGAGTTGGACATCCTATAAAAGAAGACATTTCCCAATTAGTTCTGCCAGCCCTCGATGTCACGGGCAAGCCCTCAAATGGGATGGTGTGGAAAGTCAGCGCAAGGGGTCGCCTCTCTGAAGGGACCGCATCCCAGCGTGCTCAGAAAACAAACATGCATGCTTGTGTGCACATGTGTGCGTCTGTGCATGGATGCGCATGTGTGCATAGCCCATGCACGTATGTGCGTGTGTGCGTCCCGGGGTTTCCTCGGTCTAGAGAAGTACACAGGGTGGGGCATCTGTCCTGTGGTCACCAGAAGTCCTGCAGAGCTCCCTGTGGGGGGCACGCCCATGGCTGCAGTGCTGAGGAGGCAGGCCAGGAGCCCGGGCCCTCCTGGCTGACTGTCCGCTCCAACACAACACTTCTCCACAATTTATTATCACCCCAAAATCGACACTGATCCAAAGGGAGGACGTTTAGTTTTTCACACAAGGGGAGTTCTCTATGACCTACAAACGACCCGCCCCCCAACGCACGAAACATCAGAACATCCAAACGATCGTCAGTCATTACTATGACAAAAAGGGCACGCGTCACGTCTTCAGCTCTCCTTAAAAGTCAGCCGCTCCTACTTGAAGCATGACTGAATTTCACAAGAGCGTGGCCCATCCAATTTCTGGCGGGCACCAATCACAGCCACGTCTGGGGGAAACAGAAGGAGAGAGCATCTGAGGACAGCCGGGTCCTCTCCAACGCTCTCTGAATCCCGAGTCTCATGTCTGGCCAACGGGCCCTGGCGCCTGTCCCAAGGCCGACGCCCGGCACTCACCACACCCACATGGACGTGAACAAGAGCCACGCAGGTGCCACAGTCTGAAGGGAAAGACCTGTCCTTCCAAGACGGCGGCCAAATGAATGAAAGCCCTCGGAAGGGCTCCCAAAGGACACTCCCACATCACACACAACAATGCTCCACATAAGGCGACAGCTCTGTCAGTCCCTTCAGCTGCTCCGGCAAAGGAAGGCCAAAGCCCTCTGACAAGAGCTGTGCGACCTCCACCCACCTCACCAAGTGGTGCATGGGGAGCTGGGGACGAGGGGGGCCCATCAGGTACCAGCTGGCCCCTGGGCTCAGGCCGCACAAGTCCCATCCCATGCGCCTGCGTGCATGTGTGAATGAATTGTGTGCAAATGTGCACACATGCGCACGTGTGCACAAACATGTGAGTGTATCTGTGTGCGTGCATGGGCACAAGTGTGCATGTGAATGGGTGAGCGCACACGTGCATGTGAGAATGAATGGGTGCATGTGCAAATGTGCATGCACGTGGGAGTGTGCATGCAACTGTGTGAGCATGCATGTCTGTGTGCACACATCGTGTGAGTGTATGGTGACAGAGGAGCACGTGTATGCAAATGTGCATGTGTGCACAAATGTGTGTACACGTGAATGTGTATGTGCAGGCATCTGTATGCAGATATGCAGATATGAACATGTGTGTACTGGTCTCTGTGGCTGCAAGTGTGCGTACATTTGTGCATGTATGGAAACAGGTGTGTGTGCTTGTGTGTGCATGGAACCCTAGTGACAATGACTCCAGATCCCACAAAAGCACAGGAGAAACAGCAGAGAGGAAAAAAATGTGGCTCAGCCAAAGGCGCCATGGTGATGGGGCTAACGTAACAATCATCACAGCCACAGGAAAAGCACCTACTTCGTGGCAGGCCCCCACTAAGTGCTTTACAATCAGTATGGCATTTGACCCTCATAAGCATCCAGGGAGGGTGCTATTACTATCATATCTATGGTAGAGCTGAAGAAACTGACGCAGGCAGCGGTGAAGGGACCTGCCCATCAGCGGAAAGCCTGGGGAGAGGTCCTGTCTAGGGGTGGCGGGCTCAGCTGTGCGGAGGGGACCAAGGGGGCATCAACGACCGGACAGCAAAACCCAACCCTGGGGCCCAGGAAGAAGCAACCAACGAAGGCCTGAAGCCAGGCAAAAAGACAAAGCGCGAGCGTGCGTCCCCTGAGCGCGGGGCAGCCGCTGCCATCTCTGCTCTCTGGGGGCCTGCCAGGGAACCACCGAGGTGACCGCTGATGCCAGCGAGGCTGCCGGACGCCCGGCCCGAGAGCTCCTGCAGACGCGTCCGCAGAGAGGAGACCAGACCAACGGGCCTCTGCAGGGGGCCCCCGTCGGAGGGGTCCTGCGCGCACACGCACGCACGTGCACGCGCACACGTCAACCCTGACTCAGAATTCTCCCATCTTGGAAAACCAACCTGCCATATTCGTGACAGTCCGTGCTCAAGCTTCTTCCTCACGTAGCTGCGGTCAAAATTGCTCTCCTCAGACCCCGTCGTACCGCCCCCTTCTGAAACAAGAAGACATGAGAGATCCCGGGTGGGCTTCACGCCCCCAGGAGCCGAGAACAGCGAGAACAGCGCTCTCCTCTTCTGGGACGAGGACTCGCCCAGGGCTTTCGCCGGTCGCCTGGCTGTTTCCTACAGAGAAGCCAAACCATAGAACAACAAGGAGGACGACAATAACAAGCGTAACACCAACTGAAAGCCAGCAGGAGGTACCCAGGACATCTCCCCTGATCCCCACAACAACGGGGAGCCACGCCAGGCCACAGTCATGCCGTCTCCGAGTCTGCCCCCGGCAGCTCCTGCTGCCCTGGCCCCTGCCCCACACCCAATGCTCCGTTCCCCCTCTCTGACCCGTCTCTGTGCTGCCTCTTCCCCCCCAACCTCCATCTCTCATCATCCTTCGGCTCACCTCCCAATGCCTCGTGTCTCCTCCTCTGCATTTACTGCTCTCTCTCTCATCTCCTTACCATTTGCTTCCTGTTTGTCCGGGCCCGTCTAGCTCCTACTACAGTGCCTAATCCACAAGAGGCCCCGATGAATGCACGCTAAAGGATGGATGGAGGGAGAGATGGAGGGAGGGAGGGACAGATGGATGGATGGAGGGATGGAGGAGGGAGGGACGGATGGATGGATGGAGGGATGGAGGAGGGAGGGACGTATGGATGGATGGAGGGATGGAGGAGGGAGGGACGGATGGATGGATGGAGGGATGGAGGAGGGAGGGACGGATGGACAGACCGGCATTTATTGTGAACTAAACAACGCGTGCCCTTTGACCCAGAGATGTACCCGCAAAGGGATCAAAGAAAAAGGAGTAGCTAACCAAGTTAAGATGTACAAACATGCTGAAAGAAATGATGGAAGGGACAGTTTCAGAGAAGCCTGAGAAGATCTGTATGAGCTGATGCAAAGTGTTTGCACGAGAACCACAACGTTGGAATAACAAACTACTGTGTAGCAAAACTTCAGAAATCTGATCAACTCAAGGACCACCCACAATTCTACAAGACCAGTGAGGAAGCCTGCTGCCCACTCCTCAGAGAGGTGCAGGAAACACACGTCTGGACGTGGCCAACAGGAGAACTAACTTCACCTGACCCGGTGTGTCTGCTGGGAGGGGCTTGTCTTTTGTTTTTTCTTTAAAATACCGAAGGGGGTGGGAGGAAAAAAAAATGCTTATGACTTGAAAAACAAAATTACATTTAATGTGAACACAGTTACTGGTGATCCTCATGGTGACTGATGGATTGATTGCTATCCCCTGGCTCCAACAGCAGCTCCTGGAAGCGGAGCAGGAAGACAAAGGCCTCAGGCATGGTCCAAGGCCAGGGGAGAGGCCAGGGACATCTCCCAGTGTCTGACGAGCTGCTGTGGGGAAGAAGGTCCCCATCCACCTTCCTCAGTCCCAGAACAGAACAGGACCTACCCGGGGAGTGTGGAGAGAGGTAGCTTTAACATGACATAAGGAAAATGCCAGCATTAACATCTAACCACACCAGGAATGGGGAAGGTGAGGGACACAGCATAGAGGGTTCTGGACCACATGCCCACCGAGGTCCCTCCAGTTGGCCTGAGATGGAGCTGCGTGTTGGCCAGCCCAGGGCTCAACACAGCTGGGCACTGAGGGGGGAGGCAAGGGGAGGAAAGGGGTCCTGCCTATCCAGCAGGGGATGCTCCACTCAGCACAGGCAGAAGGAACAGCTACACCGCCCGAAGTACAGGACCTCCCTGCTCTCCCCCTGCGGTGGAAGAAGGACAAACAGCCCGTGTCTGAGACTCGTGCCCAACAAGCTTGAAGATGCAGTCCAACGTGATGAAAGGCACACAGACAGGCAGGTACTGAGTGGACAGAGGACGAGGAGGCCCCGCCTGGCCCCTGGGAGAGACAGGATGGCACAGACGTGATGATGGGACAGATCCGTGAGATCCTGGTCAGGCATGAAGAGGAGGAGCAGAGCCAGCCCCTGGGCCAGAGCAAGGAGGCATGGCAGCAGCACAACTTCCTGCCCTTACACGGGTGGGCACGGGACAAAGGGACATCATAGGGCAAGAGCAGCCAGAGGCCCGTGTAGAAGGCCTTGAATGACAAGCTAAGAGGCTCAGACTCGACATGGAAGGCCAATCTAGAAGTGACATGATATGGACAGGAGGTGGGAAGAGGAGAGGAGGGGGACAGGCTGGAAAGTGACTGGGGTGGGTCAGGGAAGAGGAAGCAGCCAAAGAAAAGGGGTCAGGGAAGACACAGACTAACCAGGGCATGGGGAGGGGGCGTCAAAGAGCTCCCTCCGGCTCTCCAAGTCAAGGCTTGAAGAGGAGAAAAACTTCCGGGGAAAGATGCTCAGTGCGGCCTCAGGCAGATCAAATTTAGGGGCCCAGCAGACACCAGGGAGAATGAGAACAGAAGCCACAGATGTGAGGTTAGAGCATAGAAGCTGGCCGCACCAAGGGCAGAACCGGGGGTGCCAACGCTTAGCCCGCAAGAGGAGGGAATGCAGAGGGAGAGAAAAGGCCCACAGAAGGAGGCCACAAAGCTCTGAAAGCACCAGCCACAGGGAGGGACCCTGGGCCAGGTCACTGAGGCAAGGCCAAGAGAGAGGGACAGACACCACAGAGACATCTGGGCAGAGAGAGGTGCCCGTGGGCTGAATCACCAGGAAGTAAAACCTCTGGAGGAAAGAAGCAACAGCTTAAAAGAGAAAGTCGTAGCCTCCCCCAAGAAACGGAATCTCTGAAAATCAGGAAAGACTCCGTGAGACAGCAAGAAATATGAGAACAAGATGAAACTGAAAAAATCCTGGACACTATAAACGATAAATCACAAATGAAAACTACCCAAAGTCATCAGAACCAGAGGCCAAGGCAGAGACAGACAGAACTCCCTGAAACCTTGAAAGGAACCCCCAAAAGGAAAAAGTCTTAGGAATGTCCTAGCTCAAATCTATGACTCCCATGTTAAAGTAAAAATATCGCAAACATCTAGAAAGCAGCAGTTCAAGTAGAGTCAGGATCCCAGGAGACCAGGTAGCTTCCACTATGAGAGAGAGGAAATCCTGGAATACAATGTTGCAAAAGGTAAAAGATAGAGGCTCATGACCAAGAATAATTTAATCTGCAAAGCCAAGTATATTCCTATGGAGGGAAAAAATGACCTTGAGTAGAAGAGAGGACTTTCATGCTTTTCTGATGAAAAAGCAAGAGTGCCTAGGATCTTTGAAATGCAAACACACACAAGAGTTCAGAGTAGCCTGGAGAGGTTGATCTACTTGAGCAATTGGAAGGACCTGCCAGATGATGTAGTGCTAACATTTTAATAGGAAGAAAAGAAACCGGGGCCCTCAGAACCATGACGTCTTCAAATGATACTGAAGGAGCTATGAAGACAAGCGTGAGTCCTGGGGTGGATTTGTTTGTTCTGAGTTTGGAGGTGGAATCTAATACTTCTCATAATTGCGGTGAGTGAGAAGAGAAGTGTAACAACATGGAGGACGGGGCGGCAGACAGGGCATCAGGTGACCCTCCCTCTTATCTAAAAGGACAAAGGAGAGGTGGACACACTCACGTCCCCCCTACACACACACACACACACACACACACACACACACACCCTCATACCCCTGAATTTGGTACAGAAACACACCAAACTTCCCAAGGAAACAAGCAGAGATGGAGAGGGAGAGGAAACAAAACATGACAAGTGTTGAGCAAAACAACCTTGCTGAAGACCCCTGATGGGAAGATTAAAAGGCAAAAAAAGAAAAAAGAAAAGCACACGCTTGGAGCCAAAGGGTAACCCTGCGGTCTCTGCGCAGCTACTAGCTGATGTGGGCAGCAGTGGGCAAGCCATCCGCCTGCATGCAAAGCCAGACCCCAGGACCCTGAGCAGAGCAGGGCCAAGCCTGCCCCCAGGGGCATCATCGAGTACAAGGCTAACACCACTAGGCCCAAGAACTGGGCTCAGGTTCAGAGAGCAAGGCCAGTCCCAGGGAGGCAGTGGCTGGCAGGACTGGGGGCCCAGCAGCCTGGGCTCTCTGGCCTGCCTCTGCCCTGCCCCAGGAGCCCAGGACCCAAGGGCACGGAGAAGAGCCACAAAAGAATCTTACCGGCCACCCTGGTCGTGTCCTCACTGTCATGTGCTTCATGCCACTCCATGGTCCTGTAATAGCTGAGCATGACTTCCCACAGGGCTTTGCAGAGGTCAGCCAGGCATGGAATGTAGCTGTCTGTCGTTACGTGCTGCAGAAGGAAACTCCCATGAGAACCAGCAAGACCCGAATTTAGGGAGGTGGTGCTGCTGAGGGCTCACTACAATTCATATGTGGAACCCCAGAGAGCGCACTGAGGCCTAAGAACAATTCTAAATATAGATTATTTTAAGAATAATTATGAATGCACTCTTACTGGAGGTGTTTTCCTTCGCGTATGTCATTTTTAAAAAAATATCACTTAATCCCTAAGCTGTCTATTCAGAAGGAACTTCCTCCCACCCTCTTGCCATCTCTCCTTTAAGGGGGCCACTGACCTCCTTCCTATTCTGTTCACCCCGGACACACACGAAAACTGAGAAAGGTGACAGGGCTTAAGACCTGAAAGAAATTTTAGAGATCGGTGAATCCAGGCCCTCATTTTAGAGACAGGGAAACTGAGGCCCAGAAAGGTTAATGCATAGAATTTCAGCCCAGCCTCTGTCACCCCAAGCACTGGCTCTCACACAGAGTCAGACAAAGGCCCGAGCCCCATAAAAGGACTCACCTCCCTGAGCTCAAGAATCACCGGCTTAGCTAAAAGGTCTAGTCCAGAAAGGAATTTCTGATAACCTTTGGTAGACTGTATGGTGATGATGCAAATAAATTCAGTCTAATTAATCCTCACCCTTCCTTCCAGGTAGATAAGAGGCAGGCCCCATGATCCTACTTTCATCAAAGAACAAATCACAAGAGAGGGCACAAATAAGCATGCCACCAACGTCAGAGGCAGTTATCTCTCTTCCACTTGTCATGGATTAACAGACCAGAAAATGAAACTTCAGGCCACAAGCAGCACTGCCACGCTCTGGGCTGCCACTGAAGAGCCCCCTGCCTCAGGACTGACCAGCTCTAATTCCCTGCGTTTCTTCATCAGACCAATACGGGGTGATGCCAAGCCCCCTCAGGAGGTGCATGTAGAGGGCTCTGAGGTTTTTTCAAATAAATTTTTATTTAGTTCATTAAATACTTCCCAATTATATGTAAAAAAAAATATTTAACATTCATTTTTAAAAATTTTGAGTTCCAAATTCTCTCCCTCCCCCACCCTTTGAGAAAAACAATATATCAACTATACATGTGAAGTCCTGTAAAACATACTTCCATATCAGCCATGTTTCAAAAGAACACACACACACACACAATTTTAAAAAACAAGAAAAATAAAGAAAATTTAAAAAGTTCCCTCCACTTAGCACTCAGAATCCATTAGTTCTCTCCGGAGGTAGACTATTTGTCATCATGGGTCCTTTGGAATCACCTTAGATCACAGTTGTGATCAGAGTATCTGAGTCTCTCATGGTTGTTCACCATTACAATGTTGCTGTTACTATGTACAACATTCTCCTGGCTCTGCTCACTTCACTTTGCATCAGTTCACGTAAGTCTTTCCAGGTCTTTCTGAGAGCATCCTGCTCATCAATTCTTATAGCACAATAGTATTCCACCCCAGCCCCATGCCACAGCCTGTTCAGCCGTTCTCCAATGGATAGGCATTCCTAGAGGGCTCTGGTTTAAGAAGCATGAGCTCACAAGACATACTGAGGTTGAGGTCTCAGAGAAGAACATGGCGGGGAGACAGACACATTTAGGAAGTCATCTTCCGTTTCAGAAAACAATCATGGAAAGACTCCTAGGTTAGAACCCCATGGAACAGAGGCTCTGTCTGCAATTTATGGTGCTAGCTTTTGTCATTACATTTTACTTAAATGTCAAACTTACAAAAAATTACAAAGGCTACCAATGCCTAGGTCAAGACCCCAAAGGCCATCTTGGCCATCTCAATGTGCAAGGAAAACCAGGCTGAAGAGAAATGAAAAAAGACCCAGGATAGGGACCCACAGGAGAACCCAAGGCTTTTGTCTTCTCCAGGTTCCAAGCCCGTGATAAGCACCTGGCAAGGCCAAAGCCTCAGAAAACACTGCAGCTGCCATGACCACTCTCACAGGCGGGGGTCAAAACCCTACAAGAAACTTGCCAAGAACGAGCCATTCAAGGAAAATAAGGCAACGTCTCCATTCTGAGAAAGAGGAAGCAGGAAACGCCACGGGCATCCTCATCCTCAGGCAACTATGTCTGGCACCATCCATCGGAATGAAAAGCCTCCCTGCTGCCTCCTAGGCGCGCAGAGCTGGACCATCACAGACAGGCCACTGAGTCCAGTCCTCATTCTCAAAGAAGGAAACTGAGACTCAAAGACAAAGGTCACGGGTCTGCATCACATAATGTTCTCAGCTGGCCTCGAGTGGGACCAGCAGAAACCATAAAGACAGGCTACGAGCGCGTCCGTGCACCAATGAACAAACAAACAACATGGCGGGACCTGAGAACAACCAACAGAGGGTGCAGGCAGTCCTGAAGCAGAAAGAAAGAAGCTGCAGTGCACAGACCATCCACCTCCCTCCACTCCCTAAATCTTCCTCCACCCACTGCCCTGGGCTTCCAGTCCTGGGCCCTTTTCCAAACAAGGGCCCCTTCTAAAAATTATATTCAGTAAAGGGCACTGGAAAGAAAGACTAAAAATTCACCGGAAACTAAATAATCTTAACCTAAAGAATAAGTGGGTCAAAGAATAAATCATAGAAACAATCAATAACTTCATTACAGAATGACAACAATGAGATACCATACCAACAACAACAGCCTAACACCCAAAGCAGCACTTGGGGAAATGTAGATCTCTAAATGCTGACATCAATAAAACAGGGAGAGAGCGGATCAATGCATTGGCTATGCAACTAAAAAAAACTAGAAAAAACAAATCCAAAATCCCCAATTAAACACCAAATTCCAAAAACTAAAGGTGAGATTAATAAAACTGAAAGAAAACTATTGAGCTAAGAAATAAAACTAGGAGCTGGTTTTAGGAAAAAACCAATGAGATAAACCACTGGTACTTCATTTTAAAAAAAAGGAAGAAGAAAACCAAATTATACCAGTATCAAAAAACGAAAAGGGTGAATTCACCACCAATGAAGAGGAAATTAAAGCAATTATGAGGAATTATTTTGCCCAATTACTTGCCAAAATCTGACAATCTAAGCAAAATCGATAAATATTTACAAAAATATAAATTAATACAAGAGGAAACAGAATACTTAAATAACCCCACCTTAGACAAAGAAATTGGACAAGCCACCAATGAACTCCCTAAGAAAAAATCCCCGGGGCCAGATGGGTTCACAAGTGAATTCTACTCAACGTTTAAAGATCAACTAATTCCAATACTACATAAACTATCTGGAAAAATGGGCAAAGAAAGAATCCTACCAAATTCTTTTTATAATACCTAAACCAGGAAGAGCTAAAACAGAGAAAGAAAACTATAAACCAATTTCCCTAGTGAATATCGATACAAAAATTTTAAATAAAATACTAAAGAGGAGACTACAGCAATATATCACAAGGATCATGCACTATAGCCAGGTGGGATTTATACCAGGAAAGCAAGGCTGGTTCAATACTAGGAAAACTATGAATATAACTGACCATATCAGTAACAAATCCAACAGAAATCATATGATTATTTCAACAGATGAAGAAAAAGATTCTGACAAAATACAACGCCCATTCCTATTTAAAACACTAGAGAGCACAGGAATAAACAGAGCTTTCCTTAAAAGGATAAGTAATAACTATCTAAAACCATCAGCAAGCATTATATGTAAAGGGGATAATAAGCTAAGAGCCTTCCCAACATGATCAGGTGTGAGGCAAACATGCCCATTATCACCTCTATTATTCAATATACTAGAATGTTAGCTTTAGCAAGAAGAGAAGAAAAAGGAATTGAGAAAAATTAGAACAGGCAATGAGCAAACACCACAATCATTCTGTAGATGACATAATGGTACACTTAGAGAATCCTAGAGAATCAACAAAAAACCTAGCTGAAATAATTAGCAACTTTAACAAAGTTGCAGGATATAAAGTAAACCCACATAAATCATCAGCATTTCTACACATAACCAATAAAGCCCAGCAGCAAGAGACAGAAAGGAGAAATTCCACTTCAAATAACTGTAGACAATATAAAATACTTGGGAGTCTACCTAACAAGACAAACCCAGAAACTATATGAACACAATTACAAAACACTTTTCTCAAAGAGTCAGATCTAAACAATTAGAAAAATATTAATTGCTCATGGAGAGGCAGAGCCAATATAATAAAAATGACAATTCTACCTAAATTAATTTACTTATTCAGTGCCATACCAATCAAACCACCAAAAAAATATTTTACAGAGCTAGAAAAATTTCATAACAAAATTATCTAGAAGAGCAGAAGGTCAAGAATATCAAGGAAATTAATGGAAAAAAAAATACAAAGGGAAGTGGCCTAGCCATACCAGATCTCAAACTATATTATAAAGTGGTAATCATCAAAACCATCTGGTGATGGTACTGCCTAAGAAATAGAGTGGTGGATTGGTGGGACAGATCGGGTACACAAGACACAGCAGTCAATGATCACAGTAAATTCAAAGATTCCAGTTTCTGGGACAAAAACTCACTATTGGACAAAAACTTCTAGGAAAACTGGAAAACAGTATAGCAGGAACTAGGTATAGACAACATCTTACACCGTATACCAAGATAAGGTCAAAATGGATATATGATTTAGACATAAAGGGTGATACCATAAGCAAATTAGGAGAGCAAGGAATAGTTTACCTGCCAGATCTATGAAGAATGGGAAAATTTATGACCTAAGAAGAGATGGAGAGCATTACTATATGTAAAATGACTTAATTCTGATTATATTTAAAGAGGTTTTGCACAAACAAAACCAATGCAACCAAGGTTAGAAAGAAAGCAGAAAATTAGGAAATAATTTTTATAGCAAGTGTCTTTTAAGGGGCTCATTTCTCAAACACATAGAGAACTGAGTCAAATTTATAAGAATAGAAGTCATTCCGCAATTGTTAAATGGTCAAAGGATATGAACAGGCAGTTTTCAGATGAAGAAATCAAAGTTATCTATAGTCATATGAAAAAAAACACTCTAAATCATTATTTTAGAGAAATGAAAATTAAAACAACTCTGAGGTACCACTTCACACCTGTCAGATTGCCTAATACAACAGAAAAGGAAAATGATAAATGTAGAAGGAGATGTGGGAAAACTGGGACACTAACGTGCTGCTGGTGGAGTTGTGAACTAATTCAACCATTCTGGAGACCAATTTGGAACTGTGCCTAAAGGGCTATAAAACTGCCTACCCTTTGACCTGGCAAGAGCACTTCTAGGTCAGCATCCCAAAGAGAGTGAGGGCCTCCTTCTACCAATAAACTGACAAAAACAAGTGACCCAGAAAGGGAGAGCAGACATACTGCTGAACTGCCCCATCCCTAGGAAAGCTATGCAACGACGCGCTTCTCTAGGCTGGGAAAGGTGACCCATGGCTCAAGGCAGGGCCAGGTGAGGCAGGGCTTTCCAAAACCCCCACGACACCAACCACAAGGCTCTTCTTTCTTCTGGGCTGGGCAAGGGCAGGGGAGGGATCTCTGACCTGGAGGAGCCGCGTGTGCCCCCTCCTTTCCCACCATCCCCTACTGTGCACATTGGCACCCGCGCCCTCTGCTTTCTCCCTATGGGCGATGGATGGCTTCTTCCCACCCCTTTCCTTTGACTCCTCCCACCCTCAAAGTTCACCTCCATTCTCAGACTGACTCCTCACTACCTACACCAGGCGCCTCCCCTTTCTCTCCTCTCACTATCTGTCTGGCTCCCGACTCCATCATCCCACCCAAACTGCCCTCTCTAGAGTGACCAGTGATCCCTTGACTGCCAAACCCTGTGGCCTCTTCTCAGTCCTCCTCCTCCTCAGCCTCTCTGCAGCCTTGGACGCTGTGGGTCCCTCTCTGCTCCATAATAACACTCTCTCCTCTCTAGGTTTTTGGGACACCCTTTTCTCTCTCTCCTAGTTCTCCCTCTCCCTCTCCATCTCCTTGGCTAGAGCCTCACCCCAGTCATGCTTCCTAACTGTGGGTGTCCCCCAAGGCTCTGCCCTTCTGTCTCTTCACTTCCGCTACACTCCATCCCCTCCAATGGATTTAATAATCACCTCTCCGCAGATGACATTGAGCTCTGTGGTGAAGAGAGATTGCTGAACTTGGGAGTAGGGAAACCCTGAGTTTCAATCCAGCTGTGTGACCCTGGTCAAGTCACTTAACCCAGTTTGCCTCAGTTCCCTGTGGGAAGGTGGGGCTTAGAAAGCCAATTTTCTTTATTACATTTGGCTGCCCGCCATATGCAACATGGCCTGGAGGAGCCTGGACACCCGTCAGCCAAGAGGCGAGCAGGCCCGTACCAGGTGCACACTCGCCGAGTTAGCAGCGGGGTTCCAGGCTTGAAAGAAGAGGCAGCCCTGCTCCAAGCCAAGGCCAGCACCTGCTGCCAGCACCCTTCCCTTCTTCCCCAGCAGACTGGCCCCCAATCAGGCCCGCTCTGTCATCTACACCCCCTCTCCTTCTCCGGGCTGTCGCCCTGTGGCCCACAGACACACCAGGGTCTCTCGACCATCTCCTTGAGCTATCATCCAATCTCCCCCCTTCCTCTCCCTGCCAAGCGTCTAGAAAAGGCTAAGAGAAAGGGCGTTAGAAATAACTATGGAGGTTGACAGGATTCCCGGTGGGGTAGCTCTGGCCTATGTAAACTGGCCACAGGGCCCCCCTTTGTTCCCACTTCCTGTCTCCTCTCTCGTGCACCCAGCCCACGCTCACTCGCCACATCTCGCCCCCAGCCAAGCTCCCCCTGTCTAACCCAGGGTCAAGCACTGGACAAGGTCAGTATTTCAGGGCCCAGCTGCTCATCACCACACACCGTGCAGAGGTCCTTGTACTGAAGCTTCTGGAACTTGGTATCCGTGTTGCCTGCACACAGCTCCACGTAGCCCAGGACCACCTGGAACACGGTGTTATGGATGGCCTGCGTAAAGTGCATGTGCAGCTGGTCCATCGCGGTCTGCAAGGCACAAGAACCACATCACTCGACTGCCCAGCCGCACACGCGCACACACACACGCGCGCGCGCGCGCACACACACACACACACACACACACACACACATATACAGGCCCGCTCGCCCAGGCCACACAGACAGAAAACGGCAGCCCCCAGACACACCTGCGTCTTCCCCAGGAGCCTGTAGGCCTGCTGCACCTTAGTGTAGTGGGAGACATCAAAGTTCTTGCAGATTTTGGAGAGCGCCACGTCCAGCTGCTCCTAAGGGGAGCACACACGAGGAGGGACTGATGAGAAGCCCCCAGCAGGATGACCACAGGATGAGTGGGGCTGGCCTTAGACCCACCAACCCTGGAGCCCCCTGCCTGGAGCAGAACCCTGGGCAAACTACTGCCTCCCCCTCTGTACATCAAGGGCTTAGATGGCCCAGGTGCCTTCTGGGGACAGATTCTTAGTCACTTCAAGACCAGCTTCCAGAGCCCAGGGCCTGCAAGTACCCAGAAGCCTAGTCTCTGCCAACAGCCCAGCCGGCATCACAGGGAGGACACGGAAAGCCACGACCACGGCTTCCCACAACGGCTGTGGCGCTGGGCTGGCTCTGCCAGCCTTGGGGGCCTGAGCGTCCATAACCCTCATTTAAAGCAGGATCCTCTTCTGTGGCAGAAGGGACAAAGCGCCCCAGTGGCAAACGCACTTCTCGCTCTAGCCTTTACTCGGGGGACAGTCCCCTGTGCAGGGGAGCGGCTCTGGGCCTGGGTTCCGAAACAGACACCAGCCTTGGGAAGACCAGTCTCGGCTTCTGCACGGGGAAAGGTGAGAGAAGCCCAGCCAAGGCCAAGGCCCCGTCAACGCCTTTCCTGGAAGCTGCCGGCGAAGGAGGCGGAGGAGCCCGCGCCAGTGGGTCAGCCCGCGGCCTCTCGGGGCCGCTGGACGGGGCTGGGCTGCTTGTGGTTCTGTGTTACGTAAGGCTGGGTTGAATCTCGCTGTGTTTGCGTTACAGCGGATCAAGTTGTGATGCCCTGGGCTGCATTTTGTCGTACTGGGTCATGCTATGCTGCCTTACGCCGGACTGTTGTTTCGTGCTCTGTGCTGCCTCAAGCTGTGTTACTGTGTTGCTGCTGGGCTGTGCCCCGTTGTGTCATGCTGATCCTGTTACGTCATACTGGGTCGGGTCGGGCTGGGCTGTCTCCTCATCTCGTCCCCGGGAAGGCCGGACGCCTCCCAGAAGCACAGATCAGAGCAAGGCCCCACCCCCACCCAGCTCGCCCCTCCCCCCAGGCCAAGGCCTCCCTTCTCACCTCGATCTGCTCCAGGGTGTCCTGCAGCTTAGAGTCCAGTTCACTGTTGGACAAGAAGAGAGGGCTCAGAGACTCCTGCCTTTCTAAGGAGCAGTTGGGGCCCTGGAGACCCCCCTCAGCAGTGACAGCAGCACCTCCCAGGCAACGAGGGATGCGAACGGCCCCCGGCACCGCACCCCTGCCACGCCATCCAACGGCAGGATGGTGGAGGCCAGAGGCCCGAGATCCCTGCCCTGCTCCTAGCCGGGGGGGTCCACAGGCAGGGAAGCCCGCACACACCACCAGACCTTTCTGGCACGTCAGGGAGCTGGCCTGAACCTTTCCTGCTTCCTCCTCTTCGTTCAGGCCCTTAGTAGAGGGCATGGCTCCGTGGGAGGGGGAAGGAGACGGTGGAAAACGGAGGCGATGTCAAAAGTGAGGTGTCATCTTCTAAAAACCAAAAAAAAGCTACCTTCTTTCAAGTCAAAGCTCACAGACACTCTCCAAGCCTCTGTTCAAGAAGCAGATGCACACTCTGGCTCCTGAACCACTCATTTCTTCAGAGGCCAGAATCAAGGAGACAATCAGGACCACCAGAGGACTGGAGAGCAGCACTGGGACAGACAGCACTGCTGGGCCAGAAAGCACTGGGCCGGACACCACCTCCGGGCCAGATAGTAAGTCTACCCTCACAGCTTAGGAGGAGCTAACTAAGGAAAGTAAAGGGACAAAAACCCAACCAAAGTCATCTTGCTGGTGCCTGCCGTGAAACAAGACAGGGCCTTCTGAGGCCCAGGACCAGCAAACAGGAGCAGCCTGGCCATCCTGGACTGCTGCTTGCCTGGGCAGCCTGGTAGTCTGTCCCTCTGGAGAGATGGCAACCAGCTGAGCCCAGAATCAAACAGGATAAGGAGAGCAGGTATTTCAAGGAGCCGTCTTCTGAGCACAGCTCCATCGTGGCAAACCCCAACCTCACAAGAGTCTGACTTATAGGGGGCCTCAGGGGGACAGAGAGAGCCCAGCAGTATGGGGCTGGGCGAGCAGGGGATGCCTGACGGCCCACAGGCCCCCCCCATGGGAGGTCCAGTGGACTCCTTCACCTCAATGTGTCCAAGTCAACCATTCTTTCCCTTCAAATGCTCCACCTCAGGGCAGCCAGGTGGCACAGTGGATAGAGCACCGGTCCTGGATTCAGGAGGACCTGAGTTCAAATCCAGCCTCAGACACATAACACTTACTAGCTGTGTGACCTTGGGCAAGTCACTTAACCCCACTGCCTAGCCAAAAAAACAAAAACAAAAAACAAATGCTCCCCCTGCCACCTCCCCTCCCCCACCCCCCGCCGCCAATCCTCCAGTCCCAAGGTCTAGGAGTTACCCTGGACTCCTCCCTCTCTCTCACGCCCAGATCCAAGATGGTGCCAAGGCCTGTCGACTTCACCTCTAGAGCATCCCCCCAATTCGCCTCCTCCTCTCCTCTGACTCTGCCACACCTGGCACAGCCCCTCACCACCTCACATCTAGACTACTGCCACAACCTGCTGGAGGTCTCCTGCTTCAGTCTCTGCCCTCTCTTGCTTCCTAACTGCAAGTCTGATCATCCAACCCCACTAACTCTAACCCTGGTGCCTCAATAAACCCGAGGGGCCCCCTATGGCCTCCAGGATCAAATACAAAACACCCTCCTTGGCATTCAAAGCCCTGCGTGACCAAACCCCTGCCTCCCTCTCCAGGGTACTTACTCTTCACTCCTCACCACACACTCCTCGGTCCAGCGACCCCAGCCTCCATCTCTGCTTTGGGCCTTCTCCCCAGGTCCAGGACACTCTCCCTTCTCTGGTCTGACCACTGACCTCCCTGGCCTCCTTTAAGTCCCAGCTAAGATCCCACCCCTGCCAGGAAGCCTTTCCACTCTCCCAAATTCTCTGTTAATTCTTTCCAATTCAGCCTGTCTGTAGCTTTGCACACTGTCTCCCTCATTAGGCTGTGCACTCCTGGAGAACAGGGGCTGGCTTCCGCCTCCTTCTGTACCTCCAGCACTGAGCACAGGGCCTGGCACACAATAGATGCTTAATAAATGCTTACTGACTGACTGATTAAAGATGGTGAAGAGGAGTGCAGAGTGGCCCAGATGTCCCCAAACCACGGCTTCAAAAACCTTTTCTAGACCTTGGCCTGGACTCTGGTCAGGCCCAAGGATTCACACAGAACTGAAAGACACTAAAATTAACTGGGTATCCCCGAGCAAAATGCCCTGCGGGACACAGGAAGGCAGTCTTCCCACTATCAGCCAAAGAATCTTGGGGAACTCATTCCACAAGTTCCACAACGACAGCATCCCCTCATTAAAACAGTCAGAATGGTAACAGCACCAGCCAAGAGTCTCTATTTAGCAGACAGGACATTTACATTTAAGACTCATGAAAACTTCACTGTAATAGGTCACCCCCCCGGTCGGCATCCCCAATGTTCTGAACATGTGGTCAGAGAAGCAGTGTCTTAGAGCCAGCCCCAAACCCTCTCCCCTGCAAAAGCAGCCCACTGGGCCGCATTCCATGTCCTGGGGCCCCGACAGACCTCAGGCCCTGGGCTGTGACTATGAAGAGAAAACCGATTTCTCCATTTCACAAAACGTGTACTAATGAAACAGTAGGCCGGATCGTCACATTCTCAAAGCATCGATAAAAAATCTGACTAATTCGAGTCGGGAAACAAAAACTTGCCACCTCATCTGTGACAATTACTTTCTCACAGGAAAGACACAAATAGTCCAAGTGTCCAGACCCCGCAGAACAAAGTCCGAGGACCTGCGCTCAAACCCTGCCTTTCACTTTGTCTTTGGGGCTACCACGGGCTCCCCTGGGCTCCTCAGTTTCCTCACCTGTCAAATGAAGGTGAAGTCCTAAGTGGTCTCTGAGTTCCCTCCCAGTTCTCAAGGTCTGGGATTCTACTGGCAAACTAAAAATGCTGCCTCTACATTCCTCAACCAATAAATAGTCAAAGGATATAAATAGGCAGTTTTCAGATGAAGAAATCCAAGCTATCTCTAGTCATACCTCACTATTGACTAGAGAAATGCAAATTAAAACAGCTCTGAGGTACCACCTCACACCTATCAGATTGGCTAATGTAACAGAAAAGGAAAATGAGAAATGTTGGAGGGGATGTGGGAAAACTGGGACACCGATGCATTGCTGATGGAGTTGTGAGCTGATCCAACCACTCTGGAGAGCAATTTGGAACTATGCCCAAAGAGCTATACAACTGTGCACACCCTTTGACTCAGCAATACCATTACTAAATCCCAAAGACATCCAAAAAGAGGGAAAAGGACCTATATGTACAAAAATGTTTACACCAGCTCTTTTTGTGGGGGCAAAGAATTGGAAATCAAAGGAATGCCCTTTGGGAAAGGACTGAACAAGCCGAGATATATGACTGTAAGGGAATATTATTGTGCCGTAAGAAATGACAAGCAGGAGGATTTCAGAAAAACCTGAAGAGATTTACTTGAACTGATACAGAGTGAAGAGAGCAGAACCAGGAGAAGGCTGTACCCTGTAACAGCAACACTGTAGCAACGACCAGCTGTGAATGACTCAGCTTTTCTCAGCAATGCAACGATCCAGGACAATCCCAAAGGATTCCTGATGAAGTACGCCATCCACCTCCACGGAAGGAAGTGATAGAGTCTCGATGCAGACCAAAGCAGACTTTTCCTTTACTTTCTTTCTTTTTCTCATTTTTAATTTTTTGTCTGTGCTTTTTTTTCGTAACACGACTAACACAGAAATCTGTTTTGCATGGCCGCATATGTATAACCTCTATTAAACTGCTCACCTTCCCAAGGAGGAGAAAGAGTGAGCTGAGACAGAGACAATTTGGAACTCAAATTTTTTTTCAAAATTGTTTGCACGTAATTGGGGGATAAAATAAAATATTAAATTTAAAAAAAAATAAAGACTTCCACAGTCTGGATAAAAAAAAAAAACGCTGTCCCTAAGGGAAGGAGCAGGGCTGCCTCCTCCAATGGACCCCTCCCTGGGCACCATTGTAGGCACGGCTGGATAGACATGGGCGCCTGGTCTCTCTAACACACTCTACACTTGTGGAAATACCCCCGAAGACCCTGGACTCCTGACAACCCACTAGACCATCAGGAACAGGGATTAACCACACACTCCACCTGTACCCCCCACCCCCCATGACCACCCTGCCCCCCAGGCCACATGCTCTGCTGCTACCCCCTCCCCCTATCGCAGGGCCACCAGCCCCCCCAGACCTGATGCAGCTGTAGTGTCGGAAGGTGCTGGCCGCCTGCTGACACTCCAGGCAGAGCTGGATGGCTCCAGGATAATCTTCTTCCTTGGGGGAAACAGTGGCGTGAGGCCCCGCTCGTGCGCAAGCGCAGTGTTTGTGTAGGGACAGGGAGGTCACAGGGAGAACAGAGATGTCCCAGAGCATGTCCCAGGTGGGGAGCAGGGCCCAAGGCCCAGGGGGTGCTGGTGGGGGACCCAGAGCAGAGGGGGAAGCAGAACAGGAAACTGAGGCAGGCCAAGGTGTGGACTTGTTTCTGAGAAGAGACAGAACATTAGGGAGTGCCCATGAGGGAGCAATGGCCTACCCAAATCTGTGCTCAGGGTAAGGGGTCTGGAGCTAGGGGTCTCTTTAGCACTGAAGCACCTACTGAGGCAGGCTCTGTAGGACAAGACCACACATGTCTTCAAGAAAACTCACTTTAACATAAAATGAAAACATGAGGCACTCAGTAGGTGCCTCGGTTTCCCTAGCCACACTGACACGGCACCAGGCCCAGTGATAGGCATCGTCATTGCCGTGGGGGGCCAGAGAGGGCAGGTACCGAGGACCTGCTCTGGGCCCCCAAGTCCCAGAATTAGATGGGAGGCCACCTTCCTAAAGAAACCTCTGCTCTAGGGAACGAAACACATGTATTGGGGGTGGGGGGCTCAGTGCTATCCCACGACTTCTCCATCACCCTCACTTACCTCCAGCATCTCACTCAAGCGCACGTCCGTTCTTTGCTGGAAAAACAAATAGCAGCAGTGAGATCACGGCCCGACGGCAGCCTGGCAGCCGCACCCCAAGCCCCCAGACCCACCAGCGTTTTTATGGTCCTCAAGGACTTCAGCAGGCCGACCAGCAGCTGACGCTTCCTCTGGTTTGCGAGAAGGCCCAGACTGGCCTGAGTAAAACCCTCCTTTGCAACATTCAGGTGCCTGCAAGAAGAAAGAGCAAAGATGTCGGCCAGGCTAGGCCAGGCCCGCCACCTCCAGGCTTTGTGACGTGAGCAAGACCCACATCAATCCCAGGAAGCAAGGCAGCTTGCTCGACAGTTACCATGAACAGTGTGGGGGACACTGACCAGCAGGGGCAGCACGCCTCAGGGCCCAGGGACCACAGAGCCTGAGGCATGGAGGCCCTGCAGCTCCTCGAGTCGGCCCGGAGCTAGGACCCTGGGGAGTGCCCTGAGGAAGCCCTCTTGGGCAGCTGTGGGGAGACCACGAGAGGAGGCCAGGAAACAGACACGCCTCAGCTCTGCTCCCAGACTCCTCAGCATGTCCTGGACCGGCCCTGTAAAAGTGGTCTCTGCGGCAGGGAGCCCAGGTAGTTTGCCCAGAAAGAGGGCAGCATGAGGCCTTGTGTTCCCCATAAAGTTACACAGGCACACCCCACCTTCTTCCGTTGGTGCAGATGACAGTCGCCAGCTGAAGGCCCGTCTGCAGAGAGGTCACTCTCTCGAGCTCCTGCAGGGAGGTACAGAGGGGGGCCACTGCTCATCTCTGGCTCCTCCCTGGCCAACAGCTCTAACGAGCCGACAACCAGGAGAAACGTGCCAGGCCGACTTCAAAGACGGAAGCTCTCCCAGCAGCCCACGAGCAGCCCCCACGTGTCCCAGGATTCTACTCTGAGGCCAACCTGACCGGTGGGCGCTGCCGGCCTCTGGCCCAGCCAGGCCTGGGCAGCCAAGAGGTCTCGCCTCAGAAAACCTAGAAGAACTACGTGAAAGGGTCTGGAGACTGCCCTGTGATGACCCAGGCCCAGATGTTCGTGGAGAGGCAGCCACCGAAAAACAGCACACCTTACAGCTTTCCGAAAAACACACCCCAGCATGGACATGGCTTGAAGACCTTCGGACCGTGACCGGCTCAGAATTAGGACCGACAAGCTCCCCGTCCCAACCCTCTGAGACAGGGTGGAGGGAGGATGCCTGATCCTGCCTACAGCTAAGTGAGGCCCTCCCAGGCCCGCCTAGCCCACCTTGGTCTCACCTGGAGACCCAGCCCTGCCCTGCCCCCGCTGGCCTCCCCAGCCTCCCCCCAAAGGTTCTCCAAGGACCTCCTACCTTGACATAAGCCGGCTGCTTTTCAAGGATCAAATCTGCGACTTTCTTAGAGACCTGCTCCAGTCAAAGGCAGGAGAGACAGACAGGGAGAGCCACCATCAAGCACAGCTCACTGGCACCTCCCGACACACGTCCGGCCTCTTCTTTCACATTCCACCTCTCCTCGCCACCACCCCGACCCTGCGGGCCCCAAGGCTACCAAGACCCCATCCACCACCCTGACCCCGTAGACCCCAAGGTCACCCTGCCAGGACCCAAGCAGAAAAGGCTTCCCAGACTGGTCACCAAGGACCAGGGGAGCCCAGGGCTGGGAGATGGCTGGCCCTCTCTCTTCCTTCCAGGCCCCACCACCCTCTGACCACAGGTAGAGGATTTGAGAACCAATGACATGAGGGAAGGCCTTCCACCAAGTGAGCCATGGTGCCCTGGAAGCAACAAGCCAAGACCCAGGAGGCCCCACTCAGCCGCCACATCTCACTGCACTCGCCCAGGCCTCAGTTTCCTCATCTGTGAAATCAGAGGCTTAGGCTCAATGCCAGGATCCATTAGAAATGAGAAACCTTGGAGCTCAGCCCTCTCATGTGACAGGGGAGGAAACTGAGGCATAGAGCCCTAAAGGCCTCAGCCTCACCCACACAGCCCTCCAGTACAAAGCCCGGACTAGATTCTGGGTCCGTGCTGGCTGAACTATGGCCAAGAAGGTTCCTGGACACAGGTGACAAGTGACTCCAGAGGCCTGGATGAAGCCCTGCCCACCCCAGGGTCGGGGGCAGATGAGAAAACCTCTGCTCAGCATCAAGGTGAAAGGCCCCGCCTTCTCTCCCTCCCTGAGGCCGAAGTCAGAGGCGTGCCCAGCATGCCCCCTGCACCCCCGCCCCGGCCCCCCACAGGCAAGCCCCCAGAAGTCAACAATCCCCCTCCTATACTTACAGCAGCCTGCTGCTGTTTCAGCTTGTCTCTGTACGCCTCCAGTTCTTGCAAATTGAGAACAGGAGGGAGCTTCTGTGGGCAAAACCACCAACAGGGGTGAAAGTTTGTTGTTTTGGGGCTGCGTGGTCAGCAGAGCCATCTACATCTCCCAAATGAGCCACACGCACACTCCCACAAGGGATCGGGAGGCTCAGGCCCCAGGGACGAGCCTGGTCGGGCTCCCCAGCCCCCTGCCCAGCTCTCAGCCTGAGGTCTTTCCTCCACCATCGGCCTTCTCAGGCTGCTGACTGCCCTCGCCACCACGCTCCATCTCCTCCAAATTCATGTTTCTCTCGACCCTGAGTGGCTGATGCCCCAGTGCCCCCAATTCCTCCCCTCTTGTCTCCTGCTTTCTAGCTACAGAAAACAAGGCCACGCACCATATGTCATTAAAATGAGAGGCCTGGCTTCAAACCCCACTCCAGATTACTGTCTCACTCTGTGACCTTGGGAAGGTCACTCAGTCTAAGCCTCAGTTTCCTCATCTATAAAATAGGAAGAGGGGTGGGGTGGGAAGGAGGTGGCTTCTAAGGTCCTTCCATTACATCTCAGGGTCACAGATTTAAAGCTGGAAGGGTTCTCAGGGTCCAGCCCCTTCATTTTACAAATAAGGAAACCAAGGCCCAGGGAGGTGGACTTGCCCAGAATTACTGTGCTATGAAGGGTCAGAGGCAGGAGCCCAGGCATCCAAAGATCTCTGCCTCTGGGAGTGACGATCTAAGCTCTTTAGCAATGCCCACCCGCCCATCCTGGCCCATCCCCATCAGCAGCTCTGTCCAATGACCATCCCCTCTCTTACTCATATTAATCTCTCCCAACTTACTGGGACCAAACCTTCAGGCCACAAACATCCCGGGATCTCTCCCACCCTGGAAAATCTTCCTTTGACCTTGCCACCTTGTGAAGCCATCATCAATCATCATAGCTCCCATTTATAGAGCCAGGCCCCACAGGCCAGGCCTCACACTAAGACTTTATAAATATTATCTCATTTGATCCTCACCACAACCCTGGGAGGTCAGTGCTGTTATTATCCCCATTGTACCGATGATGAAATTGAGGCAGTCACAGGTTAAATGACTGGCGCAGGGTCATATAGCTAGGAAGTCCCTGAGGCCAAATTTGAACTTAGCTCTCCCTGACTCCAGGCCCAGCACTCTGTGCTATGACACACCCTAGCTGCCATCCATCGATCTCCACACATTCACTGCCAAACTCCAAGAAAGAATCTGGGAGAACAGTCAATGTCTCTCCTGCCTCAAAGGCCGCTCATATCTCTGCCCCCTGTGATGAGCCTGCTGCCTGAAGCTGCCTTCTCCAAAGGCCCCTGAAGCTCAACATGCCCACAATGGAACTCACTCATCACCTTTCCATAAACCCTCCAGCCCCTACCCTCCCTATTCCTGTGTCCTCTAAGTGCCTCAGGCTCCGACCTAAGAATCATCCTGAGTCTACTCCTCACTGTCTACCCCACCTGCTTCTGATATGGTGCTGAAGCCTGCTGATTTCCCTTGAACAACATCTCTGGTCGATTTCTCCTCTAGAGCATCTCTGATTGATTTCACCCTGGCAGCATCTCTGGTCAATTTCTCCTCTGCAACATCTCTGACTGATTTCACCCTGGCAGCATCTCTGGTCAATTTCTCCTCT